ATATATATATATAAATATATCTATTATTTATTATATTTTTATTTTTTTTATATTATATTTTTTAAAAAATTAAATTAAATAAAAAATGTAGCAATATACTACGCTTATCTATATTCAATGTTAATTTTTTTATAAAATATATAGAAAATATACATAATTTTAATAAAATAAAGTAATTATTTATACTTGTAGATTTTATTCGATTTTATTCTAATAAAAATAAAGGTAAAAAAATAATAAAAGGTATGGTTATTCCCAAATAAACACCAAATTTTTACTATTATAATATTTTGATTTTTTTTTCATTTATAATAAAATCATAGTTATCTAAATCTTAACCAAATTCTTATCTTTATTTAACTTCTTAACCATTAATCCTTAAAGCTATATTAATAACAATAAATAGAACTGGAATTAAAAAAATCATACCAAAAATTACTCCTTATTCATCATTAGTAGCTTCTTTCGGTTAATTAAAAAGCGCAAAAACTAAAATAGTAAAACCAATGATAAAGCCAGAAGAATTAACCATAAATCCAATTACATTTAAATCATAATAAGCTAAAATACCTAAATCAAAAACATTTTTTTAACTTTTAATTTCTTTAAAACTATTATAAAACTCTTAACATAATTTATATATGCATAAAATTAAAAAAATCGAGATTCCTATTCTAAAAATATATATATATTTATATATATATATATATATATATATATATTTATATTTTTTATTAAATATTTATAATTATTTATGTTTATTTATATATATATATATATTTATTTGTATATATGTTTTTTATTTACATAATTATTATATATGACATTATAATTAATGGTTCTTTTAAAGACTTATCATAAAAATCTAAAAAACTTAATGGAAGTATAACTCCTGCTGGAAATGCAAAAAAAATACACGCGAAACTTAAAAAATAAACAAATTTAACCCTGTAATTATACCCAAAAATTGCTAAGAAAAGCCATATTTAAACAAATCCTGGTAAAATAGATAAAATAGAATAAAAATAAGTTTATTATTTTATTTTTGAATATTTTTAGATTATTGGGATTATTGCTATATTTGGTAAAGCTAGGAATATAGGGAAGTATAAAAAAGTATCCGAAACGGGTCTTTTGGAGACTGAGATGGCGATTCCTAATAGAAGGAAAAAAGGAATGCCTATAATTAAAATTAAAAATGTTATTACGTTTTTTAAGTCTATGCTTTTTTTAGATAGTTCAGTTTAGAGATTTAATAATATATGAATTTCAGAAAAAATGTAGATTGTTCCAATTATTATAGAGGATATTTAGGGACTTTTTAATTTTAAAAATTATATAAATTTATTATTTGTTTAGGTGGTTTTTATAGATTTTTAGGAATAAAAGTCGATTTTATTCTTTAAAGATAAAATAGCGTATTGGAAATGAGAGATAGGAAGGTCTAATAGCCTGTAATGAATCATTATATAGGAAAATATAATGAAGATTATAAAAGGAATACATAATATTTATTGAAATTAATTTATTATATATAAATAATCATAATTAGTTTCTAAAAAAAGATATTAAAGTATAATCAAAGTCGTAAAAAAAGGAAAAACAATGCAAAAAAATATCGAAAAAATAAAAGAAGATATTTTATTATAGGATTTTCTTAATTAATAAATAATAATTATATTTTTTTTTTGTGTTACTTTAGCCACTAATATACAGAAGAAAATATGCACCAATATATATATATTATTATAGGATATGATTTTTAAGCAATTTAATCAAAATTAGGACTTTCTTTAAATTCTTTATAAAATATTACCTATGATAAAAATAAATAAAAATATATAGTTTATTTATTTTTTACATTAAAATCTTCGTATAACTAATGTATGCTATAGTACAAATAAAGTTAAAAAAAGTAATACATGCATGAAAATGTTTTTTAATTTTAGAAATCTATTTTTTTATTACAAATATAAATATATAACAATGTTTGTATATATTTAAATTTTATAAATATTTATATATTTAAATATATAAATTTTACATAAATCCATAAAAAATGAAAAAAAATCCAAATAAAACAGAATTTTTAGAAATATATAATTTCCATTAATCTTATTTTACAATATTATATTCATTATATTTTTACATTTTAATAGCATAAATTATATACAAGATTATATAAATAATATACATTAATACTTCGTAAATTGAAAATTTAATATATTTATTAATAAAACTACATTTTCTATAAAAAAAATCTTCAAAATTCTTTAAATGATTCTTTAAAATAAAAAATTTTCTATTTTTATTTTTTTAATCTTTTTGTTCTAATAAACTAAAAAGTTCAAGTATTTAAGGTATTGGCTTTCCTTTAAATGTATAAGATTTATTTTAGATTATTACTGTACGAGTTATTTCTTCTATATCTTGATGGTTTAAAGGATTTTCAATAATTAGATCATTTGAATTTTATGTATTTCTTTTAATTATTTAATCCATTAAATTTTTTTATTAACAAAATAAAATTCAAAAAAAAATTATATTTTAATAATTATATTTAAATAATAATTATAAAAAAAAAAATGTCTAATTAATAATAATAATAATATTAACTATAATAATAATAATAATAGTAATAATAATAATAACATTTAAATAACCTTAATTACGATATTTTTTTTGATTAAGAAATAGGATAAATAGATTAACCATAAAGAATTAATTAATAAAACATAATAAAATAAAGTTAATATATTAAATATATATTTTAAAAATAATTTTTTTTTAAGAAAAAAATAAATAAATAAAAGAATTCCCTCAAACATTTATTACTCCTTTAAAACAAAAAGAATAAACATAAAGTATAATGAAAGAAATGAAAAAATATATTTAATTTATTGATAATACAGATTGGATGTTTTAAAATGATTAAAATCCTATTCATAATTATCCAAGATTTTGAAAATTAAAAATAAAGTGAATAGACAAAAATATATAATTTATATAAATAGTATTCTAATATTATAGATAAAAAAATATATTAATATATTTATATATATATAATTTAAAAAATATATATATATAAATATATAAATATTTAAATATTTATTTATATACATACTTTTATATTTTTTATTATTATATATATTTATTTTTTATTTTCTATTTTAACTTATCTCATAAATAAATTTTTAATTATTATTTTTTTCATAAAAATATATAAGACTTTAATATATAATTTTTTTTTTTATAATAATTTCTTTATTATTAATTTTTTTATATTATTTAATATTTTTTTATTAATTTTTTTTGAATATTATTTACCTTAATTGCTATACTATTATGTATATTTTATTTTTATTTTTATTATCTTTTTTTTTTTTATAAAATAAAAAATCATATTATAATTTAAAAATTTATATCATTTATGTTTTTTATTTTTTATTTTTGTAATAAATATAGCTTTTAATAAGCTTATAAATAATTTTATTAATAAAGTAAAATTATTATATAATTATTAATATATAAAAAAATTCTAAGTGCTTTTAGAGTTTTATTATAATTTTGAATTATTAGATAAATATATATATTTATTTTATTTAGATCTATTTAAAAATCTAATTTTAAAAATTATATAATTCTATGATTTTATTTGTAAAATTTATTTATACTCATTTTATTATTTTTAATGTTATATTATATTATTTTAAAAATATCTTTATAGGATTTTTATATCTTTTAATAATTAGTATTTACATGATTAATTATATATAATAAATTTCAAAAAATTATAATATAAATTTAAAAAACAAAATAAAAATATTATATATATATATATATATATATATATATTTATATATATCTCAATATATTAATATTTTTTTTATTATATTGAAAATATATTCATTCTATTATAATTATTCATAAAAATTTTATTTTTATTAACTAATTTTTCTTAATTCAATTACAATTTTTTTTAAATAAAATAATAAATTGAAATAAAAGAATTTAATTTATAATCTTTCCTAATTGAATTCTCTTTATATAATTATTATTATTATTTATAAAATTAATTATATATTTTAAGTATTTTTTATTTCTATTATAAATACTTTAATATATATTCTAATTTTTTATACAATAATTATATTTTTTTTTATATTTAAGATTATACCTTCTTTTATTATAAAGAAATAAAAAAAATATTTAATATAAAAAAAACATCATTTTTTCTTAATTCATGAAAATTATTAACTATATGATAATACTCATATAAAATATAGTTTCGGTATTTCCACATATATATTAATTTTATTTTTTTATATTAAAAGTCAAAAAAAGTAAAGTATTTATTTTAAAATAAATTGACAAGAATGTTCTACAAAAAAAATTAAATTATAATTATCAAATAAATATAAATAATAAATAATTAAACGATTTAACATATAATTATTAATTACAAAATTTCTTAAAAAATAAAAAAATAATCTAATTTAGATAATATTTTGAGAGTAAAATTGCATTTATATTTTTAAAGAATATTTTATATAAGTAAGCCTTTAAAAGTTTAAAAGGTTATTAAATTTTAATGTTAATAAAAATTATTTTATTAAAAAAATTGACAAAAATTATACTTTTTTTATAAGAAATTAATATTTTCAATTTAAATCTAAATCATAAACATAGTGGATATTTTTGGATTTAGTTAATCGAAAATTTTACTAATAAGACTTAAATTTTCAAAATAATTGTAGTGTGACTTATTTTGTATTTTTTATTACATAAGAAATACTCTAAAAAATATCTTTTTTAAGAAGTATAAGTAGAAATGTCAACTGAATAATAATTATAAAACATATAAAAAATAAATAATATTAAAATTTGATAAAATATTAAATAAATATTAAAATTAATTTTTTTACTAAAAAAAAAAGGTACTCTAATATTAAAAAAAATATCTTAAAAAAAAAAAAAAAAAAATATATAAATAAAAAAAAATGGAAGAAATTAAAATAACTATAACTGATCTTCAAGAATAAAAAGTAGATTTCATTTTAGAAAACTGCGAAGTCGCCTTAGCAAATTCCCTACGTCGAATTCTCTTAGCCGAAGTAGAAACAATAGCAATCCAAAACGTAAAAGTATACGAAAACACATCATGCCTTCCTGACGAATATATAGCCCACCGAGTAGGTTTGATTCCTTTAATAAGTGCTAACGTTGACAACTTTAATTATATATGGAATTGTGATTGTAAAGGATCTTCAGAAGGCCAAGAATGTGACCGATGTGCAGTACATTTTGTATTAAAAGTATAAAACTAAGGAAATACTACTATGGAAGTAACATCTTTAGATTTAAAAGAGAAATTTATGAATTCTGACGAGGATGCAGTACGTCCAGTGAAATTTTATTCAATAGTTCCAGATTAAATGGGGAGATAGTAAGAAGTGGGAATTCCTATAGTTAAATTGTCTAAAAATTAATAAATTCATTTCGAATGTGAGGCGATGAAAGGAATAGGAAAAATGCACTCGAAATGGTCTGCGGTTAGTGTAGCAAGTTTTAAAATAGAACCACTTATAAAATTTTCGGATGATATTTAATAATTGACAAGGGAATAGAAAAAATAAATTGTTGATTGTTGTCCGGTTAAAGTATATGAAATTAATTAGGAAAATGATCAATTAGAGATCGCTAATCTGTAAAAATGTATGTTTTGTGATGAATGTGTGTTTAAATGTGAAGAAGAAATCAAAAAACCGAAACTTATCAAAATTGATCATAATAAAAATAAGTTCATATTTTAAGTAGAAACTACAGGAGTTTTGAAACCTGTTGATGTACTAAATAGGGCTTTTAGAGCGCTTAAAGAAAAATTGGTTTTTATGAAAAATTAAATAGAATAATATTAAGTTTGATTGCTTTCTTTGTTTATATATATATTTGTTTATTTAGTTATATTTGATTTTATTTTTTTTATTGTATTTTATATATTAAATTATTTTATATATTATATTTAATTAAATTTATTTTATTATATTATTATTTAATTTATTATATATGATATTATTTATTTTATTTTATTAGATTTATTATTTTAATAGGATATATTATTATTAATTATATTATTTATAATTGTTTTGTTTTTAATTTAATTATTATAATAGTTACAATTTTAATTTATTTATTTTTTCCTCTTTGTTTTTATTTTTATATAAATATATATATATTTAATTATTTTTTAGTATAAAAAATTATTTAGAAAAAAAAAAAAATTATATTTGTTTGTATGTATTTTTTTTATATCATATATCTAATAAATCATTTAATTATGTTTTTTTTATTTATTAATTTTATTCGTTTTTTTCTTTTATTTTATTTTCATTTTATTCATTTTTTTCTAGTATTTTATTTTATGTTTTTTCATTTATTTCGTTTGTTTGTTCTTTATTATTATCATTTTGTTCTACTTTTAATTTTGTATTTTGTATTTTATTTTTATTTTTTAATTAATAAAATACTTTGCCATGAAACCCTTAATACTTTTAAAAAAATTTTTGATTCAAAAATAGGAATTTTTTTAGAGTTTTCTGGTATATCCATCCAAACAATTTAATTATTATAAAGATATTTAAATCTAAATATATATTATCCTTTTAATGGGAAATATTTTTTTATATGTTTTAATCTAACATCTTCTTATTTTAATGGAATTCTTTTTATTATTTTTGTAAATAAATTATTTATCTATTTATTTAATAAATATAAAAAACTCACAAAAATGAATTTGGTATATCTAATGAATCACAATCCTCAGGAATATAATAAAAAATATTGCAAATTTATAATTTGTTAGAAGAACTCATATAATTATAATATTATTTTAAAATATTTTTTTATAAATAAAATTTATAATTTATACGAATAATATATAAAAAATAAAATTATAACAATAAAATACATTTTAAATAAATATAACAATAAAAAAGATTATATATTTATATATAAAAAAAAGATAAAAATATCATATTTATTATAAATATTCATATAATTTAAAAAAAAATATAAAAAATTATAATTAATATTATTATCGTTTAAAAAATATAAGAATTAAATATTTAAAATATATATAAAATATATAGATTATATAAATTGTAAAAAAAGAAAAAAATATATAATAAATTTATATTTATATTTATATTTATATTATATACTAATTATAATAATAATAATAATAAAAATAAAAATAATAATAAAAAAAATATAATATAATAATGATATTAATAATAATAATAATAATAATAATTATAATATTTATAATAATAATAATAATAATAAATATAATATTAATAAATATATTAATAAAACATTCTAATATTATTCTTAAATATAAATATTTTTTTATTTAATTCTAATAATAAATGTAAAAGCATTTTAAATTTTAAAATAAATATATATATTTTTTTATATTATTTAAAAAATATGGAAAAATAAGAATATAAATTAAATTATATATTTGGTAAAAAAATATTAGAAAAAAGATTAATTATTTAATCTAATTTTAAAATAATAAATATGATATAAAATAGAATTTTCAGCATTTTTAATATTTAAAATAATATCAATAGTATATAAGAGGTTTTGAATAAAAAATGAGTAGTTTAATTTTTAAGTTATAATTATAAAAAAATATTAAAAAATAACAAAATAAAATAGAAAATAATAATCCTATTTTATAAATAGAATTAAGAAAAAATAAAAACTGAAAATAGTTCTAAACGATATCTAAATATATGGTAATTTCAGAAACGGAAATCCTAAAAATATAATAGAACATAAAAATATTAAAAAAGAGAAAAACCTATATTTTAAAGTATTTTTTGAATCTAAAGTAGGTAAATAAGAATTAAAAAGTTGCTATTTTTCTTATGAGGATTGTAAAAATTAATGTCCTTAATTATTAATTGAATATTATGAAAGAAATGGCATTTTAATATGAATTAAAACATAACAAATATTAGTATATATTATATGTATTTTTTATTTCACTCATATATATAAAAATTGTATTCATTCATTTATTCCTTAAAATGTTTTTTGTTTTCTGGATCTAAAACTTCTTTTGCCATATCTTTATCAGTTTATAAATAAAAAGGAGAATTTTTTTAAAAAAATGGATTATCAATATTTAATAATTATTTATCTTATAAATTTTATAAATATTTTTCTAATTAATTATTATCTTAAAAATGATAAGCTCTATATATAATATAGAATATTATTAAATATATATATATATATAAATATATTTAGATATTTTATTTTTATTTTTATTTTTATTTTTATTTTTATTTTTATTTTTATTTTTATTTTTATTTTTATATACTAATCTAGTGATTTTTTAAATTCCTATTATCTTTCTTTAAATTACTCAATCATTTATTTTTGTTATGTCTACATATTTTCTAATTCTTATATGAATTCTTATACTTAATCTTTTTTGGTTTATTTTTAATTTATATTTAATGTTTATTATATACTCTCTGTAGTATTTTAAAATACAGTTTAGTCATTTTAATTTTATTCTTCATCTGTTTCAGTAATTTCATCATTTTCTTTGTCTTATTCAATGTCATAACTAAATATTCTCCCCAATATGTACATCTTTTTTTTATTTTTTAATAGTCTTATAATTAATTACATTTTTTTTATATCTTATCATTGCTTCTTCTTTTGTTAATTCTTTTTAGCTTTTATTTGAAAATCTTAATTCCTTTTTTTTTAATTCTTGTTTTTTGGCATGTATATTTATTATTACAATAAAATTTTAATTTCTAATTTCTTTATATTGATTCATTTATTTTTTCTTTAAAAATTTTAAATATTTTTTAATTTATATTTATATATAAAAATATAATGTCAAAATTTTAATGCATTTAATATATTTTTTAAAAAAAAATTTAAAAGATAAAATAATTGATAAACTATATAAAATATATTAAAATTTTTAGTTATAATATTTTTATAAGTATAATTTAATACTAAATTTATAAAAATTCAAATATTGAAAAAAATTATTTTATATTTTATACTAAATAATAATTTAAAATATAAAAATATATATATTATGTAATATATTTTTTTTTCTTTAATTTTAAGTTTATTTTATAAAAATATCTTTATATAATAAAATACAAAAAATCTAATTTATTATATATAAAAATATAATTTAATAATATATATTTTATTATAAGAATTAATAAATAGATATAAAAAAAACGTAAAAGAAAGTATTATAATATAATAAAACTTTATTTAGTAATATATTGTAAAATATATTATTAAAGAAAGAAAATATCTTCGAAAATTTAAATTATGAATAAAAAATCAAATAAAATATTAAATTAAAAATATAATTTGATATATAAATTTAATATAAATAAATATATTATTAATATGCATTATATTACATATAAATATAAATTATTTGTATAATTATTTTTAAAATATAAGAATATATTTTTTACGTAAAAACAAATAAATTAAATACATATATCACAATAAAATATCGAAAGAATTTATTATATATATAAATCTATATATTAAATTAAAAAACATTAAGAAAACAAAAAAATATAATAATAAAGAATTAAATAATAATAAAAATAAAAAAACAATTAAAATGTCAATATTAGAAAATCTAGATATTTACTCAAAAATAACTGAATTCTTAGCTCTTCCATAAATCCTTAAGCTCTAATCTCTTAGTAAATAACTAAACAAAAACACAATGTAATATTTTCGTTAAAAACTACAAAAATATAAACTAATAACTACTTAAGAATACGAGAATATATCCCAAACAAACTATTAAAAGTTATATAAGACTTTATTTAATCGAGATATTTTATTTATGAATATAAATTAATTTCCTATAGAAAAAAATAGCCTTGAGAATTTAAAAGTTTATAGAATTCGATAGTAAAAGGGTCTTTTTAATAAAGGAATTAAAGAATTTTCAATTGGAAATTATTTTTCTGCTTTTTTAACTTTTGAAAATAATATTTTATTTACAAAAAGTAGTGAGTTTTTTTAGGTTAATTGTGTTTTTTTGTAAAGAAAAAATATCAAATAATTTTCAGTCTAAAGTAAAAATTTTTTCTATTTGGACTAAAATGGATGCGTTTTTATTGTATTTTTTTAAGAAAATGTTAATGTTTCGAATTTATAGGAAGTTTTAATTGATTGGACTTTGTAAATTCCAGTATTTAAATTCGAAGCGAGTTTCTCTTATTTAGCTTTCTAAATTTAAGACGAAAATATCAAAAAAATTAAACATCTTTTGGACCTGAGTGATGATTATTGTCAAGATTAATGTAATCTAATAGTATTTAAGACTAAAGACCTTCTTATTAATGAGCTTTAGAATAGTTAGAGATTAAAAATAGTCAAAAATTACCCTGAATAAGGTATTAAGGAGTTCAAAATCGGACATAATTAGTTAGTTTTAATCGGACTTAGTGAAAGTGTGTATATTTGTGAGTTAAATAATTATTCAAATCAAGGAGGATTTACACATAAATGGATGGATGTTAAGAAATGGGAGCTTTTCGATAAATAGGGAGTCGAGAGGAGTATTTTCGGAGGTTTTGCAAGTTTTTTTTTAATTGAAAAAGAAAAGATGAAAAAATTAGAAGATTGGAATAATGAAGACTGTATTAATCTTTTTTTAAAAAACGAGAACTTTCTTGACTATGTTAATATTTTAAAATACGAAAATATAAAAGGAAAAGATTTAATGGGAATATCAAAGGATTTTATGAGGGATAGACTGGGAATTTTAAAGGAAGATTTATAAATTAAACTATAAACTGAAATTATAAAAAGTAAAGAAAAAAATGGCGGTAAATGCACTTTTTATGGTTGGGGAAAAAACGAAAATGGACAATTAGGAGTTTATAACTGTAATCTAGTTAATTAGCCAGTTTAGGTTTAGTTAGGAGATATTTTAGGGGAAGATGATGAAATTTATAGTATATAAATTGGATGGAAAAACAGTGTTTTTTTTAGTAGGAAAAATAGGGTTTTTATTAGTGTTAATAATGGTGAGAAATAAAAGAAAATTTGTAGATATTTAGAAGTAAGTGATAAATTTAAGGTATTAAGTGATAAAAAATAATATAATATTTTAGATATTTCTATTTCAAAGGATGTTTTGTGCGTTTTGGCTAATAATAAGCATGTTTAAGAATAAAAATAATAATTATAAAATAATGAAGAAAAATTAACACCGGCTAATTAAATTATTAATAGAATAAAATGGGATGAAAGCTTAAATAAAAATTAATTCACAATTGTTTATTAAGATAGATTTTTAAAAGATTTAGAAATTGAATTTGTTAAGTTTGAAGGGACGGAAGTTAAGACACATAGAATTACTCATTTTAAAAAAAATGGTAAAATTGTGTGGGATAGAGAAAAAAAATGGGAGGATATTTGAAATTTTTAAATATATATATATATATATATATATATATATAATATATATATATATATATATATAAAACTTAAATTATATTTATTATTATTTTTTTATATTTTTAGAACAATTAATTTATATATATTGCTATTTATTTAATCAATATAGTTATATATTTATATGTATAAAAATTATATTATTTTATTTTTATTAAATACTGATAATTTTTTTTTTTATATTTAAAATTGTGATTTATATTTTTTTTAAATATATTTTATATATTAAAATTAAGTTTATATGTATATTATTTCAATGTTTGATTTCTATAAAAAAAAAAAAAAAAAAAAATTATTTTTTATTTTTAGTATTTTATATATATTTTTATAATTCGAATTATCTTAATAATTATTTGTTTTTAAAATTTAATTATATTTTTTTTATTTTGGGAGAAATGGAAGATTTTTAATAATAATAATGTTAAAAAAAGCTTAAAAAATAAATAATTAAATTTAAATTATTATTTAAAATTTTATTTTTAATTTTCTTTTTAAATAAACGATATTTAAAAAAAAAATTATATATATTTTTATTTTGTTAATAAAAAAATTATTTTTAGTATTTTTTATTTATATTATTCTTTAAAAAATAGAAAAAAAAAAAAAATGATAAAAAAAAATAATAAAAATAATAAAATAAAATAAAAAAATTAAAAAAAAAAACATTCACATATAAAATAAAGTATTACCTTACTATAAAACTAAAAATTAAAATTTGCATTCTTTTTAAGGTTTATTAACTTATTCTAGTAAAAAATTTTCTTTGTCTATTTATTCTAATATATTATAATAAAAGCATTATCTAGAATCTTTATCATAATAAGGAATCATAACATCAAAAAATATGCTGTCTTCAACGGCATATATATAATGTAAATTTTTATTAATAGGATCTAAAAAATCAATATTATCTTGCATTAAAATTAAATCTTCGTCTAAATGGGCTTTGAAAATTTTATTTTCGTTAATTAAATTATTATTGATATCATTATTAATATTATTGATATTATTGTTCATTTAATAATTCAAATTATTATTATTAATAATAAAATTACTATTAGTATTACTATTAATATTATTATTACAACTATAAAAGTTATTATTTTTATTATTATAATTATTATTATTATTATTATTATTATTATTATTATTATTATTATTATTATTATTATTATTAATATTTTAACTATTCAAATTTTTACTTACTTCATCTATTATTGTATAACTTTGTTTTTTTATTTTTCCGTATAATATTTTCGAATAAACATACATATTTGGATGATTATGAAGGCTTAAATATGCATCTTTTGCTAATATAAATAATCCAAAACAAAACTTTTTTTGTTGATCTGTGTGTATATTTGAATATTGGATTGTTTTTGGTTCAGAAAATAAATACTAAAATAAATTTTATTATATTCCGAAATGCTCTTTTTTCAAGATTAAGAGGATTTCATGCAACTTTTATAATTATTCTTTTATTTTTGGGCAATTTTATTAGTAATCTAAATATATTTAATTTGATATATCAAGCATTTATTGGTACATTATTTAATTTTTATTTTTTATTAAAAAAAAAAAATTATTTATAATTGTTATATTAATAACAAAAATCTACAAATTAAAAATATAATATATTTGAAATTTATTTTATGTTAAAAATAAATGTATAAATATATTTTTTAATTTTAAATGTTTCATTATAAGAATAATTTATTTATTAAAAAATAACAATATTATATAAAATTTTAATTAATTATTATATATATATGTAATTTTATTATAAATTTATATTTAAAAATAAATAAAAATTATAATATAAAAAATTGTCAATCTTTTTTTTTTTTTTATTTAACTTTTTTAGATGCTTATTCATCTTATTAAGTAAATAAATCCTCGCTTTTTTCTCCTAAAATCCTAAGATGTTCTTTTATTTTTAAATTAGATTTCTCAGCAAAATATATATTTTCTTATATAAATTTATAAATATTTTTATTTTCAAATAGTTTTTTTTTAAAATCATTTAATATAAACTTATAATTTTTATATAACAAATGTTAAAAACTAAAAAATTACTTTTTCATTATTATCTTTTAATAAATTTTTCATTAAAATTTAATTAAAAAAGACTATATTGGTTTAAAAAAATTGTTCGTTATAAAAATTTAAAGAACATTAAATTATAATTTCAAATACGTAATTTAAAGGAATTCTTGTAAACTTTATATTAGTATATATATATATGCATATATATATATTTATATTTATAATCTTTTATATATATAATACATTATCTTAATTATTTTCACTTTATTAATAATAATCTATTATAATGTTTCCTAATTTTTCTATACTATCAATTTAATTTAAATATGCTTCCTCTATTATTTTAATAAATTCTTCACAAATGAAATTTAAATATAAACTTTAAATAAATTATTATCCATTATAGTTATAATTTAATAATTAATCCTTTTTTAATAATATTCAATATTATTTTATTTTTGAATATACATCATCTGAATAATAATCTGCTTTTATCATTTTTAAAGTATTTAAAACAATCTATTTTGGGAAATCGGAACACAATAAACGCAAATATTAAAAATAATCATGTCCTATTTTGTCATCATTTAAATTAAATACTTTTCCTATATTTATTAAAAAGCATAATTTATTTATTGGGATTGCTTGAATATGGTAATATGATTTTAATAATACATGTTCTCCTTTTATATATTAATTTGTACTTATTATATTTATTTATTTATATGAATATTTTTTTTATTTTATACAATTCTTATATTAAGTTATTTGATTATGTTCCTGCTTTTCTCAATAACAATTTAGTCATTTCTGTAAAATAATATTAGATTTATGTTATTTCTATTAATAATAATTATACATCCTAAATATTTTTTGTTTTTTACTTAAATATTAATAGTTATTTTTATCTAGTATTTATTTTTATTTGGGCATGTAAAAAATACAATCTTTTATATTATAACTCATTTTCTTTAAAAAAAAAATTAAAATAATATTTTAGTTTTTTTTTGATTTTTTTTAAAAAAAATAATAAGAATAATATACAAGAACAAATAATAATCTAAATAAAAAGTATTATTATATATTTTATTTTTCCAATTGGGAAAATATATAAAACATATAAAATAAAAATGTTTAAAAATATATCAAAACTAACTATATTATATCTCCTAATAATAACTACAAAAAGCTTATCAATCCGAAAACAAGACGAAATAAGCGAATAAGTCCTTGAAAAAATAAAATATTTTTGCAAAATTCGAACAAATACATTAAAAATCCAATCAAATACTCCAGAATATTCCACATTGAAATTATTGAACGAATTTCTAGATGAAAAATCTGAACACGAATTAATTTTGGAAGGAAATACTGGCTCTTTTATGATAAGAAATAACCGAATATTGATCTTTTAGATAAATTAAAACGAATTCGAAATAGTGGCATAAAGGAGTTTATTTCAAAATCTAATTTTCCAAAAGGGAATTATTTAAAATAATATAAGACAATGGTAATTAGTTTAACATGAAAAATACTATAATGAACCCGAAAATTGGAGTATAAATAAAATATCGAAATGTGGGGGAATCTATATGCTGGGTGGATACGGAATATTGGCAAATTAAGAACTTTAAAAAAAATTTGAGAATATTAATGTGGAACATAATATGTTAAGGATTACGGGGTTTTTTCACTTCATAGATGCCTGGAGTGGAGAAACTGGGTATATTAAAATCATAGACGATTAAAAAGATAACTTTTAATATGTTTGGACATAAAGCTATGACATTACAAAAGGAAAAAATGGAATTAATATATGCGGTAGTGAATATGTTGAAGGTTAATTGAGTGTATAATTCGATTTTTCAATACCACATTTAAAAAATGATGTTATTTTAGCCTTTGGGAGTACTTTGTAAGGGGATCCCTTTGAAAATTCATTTGGAATTTCTAATTTATAAATATGGGTTAGATGATTTTTATTATATAAATATATTATTGATTTATTTTTAATTAAATTAAAATATAAAATATATATATATATATATATATATAATTATTTCGTTAAATATAATATATATATCAATATTAATATAGTTATGTTTTTAAATAAATGTTTTATTAATCTATAAAAAATATAAATTGCTATTGATGATAATCAATGACAATTTGGTTAGGATTTCGATGAAAGAACACATAATTATGAAGAAGAAGAAAATGAAAATTTAAAAAAGATAGAGTAAATGATAATATTATATACTATGAATATGATTAATAAAGCAAATAATTATATTTTTTGTACATATGATAGTGTTTATAAGATTAAAGTAATTATTATTTAGATTAAAAATATAGAAAATATGAATATTCAAGAAATATATTATTAACAAATATATAATTTTATTTAAAGATATATATATATGTAAATTATTATATATTTATTATTTATATATATTTACATATATTTACATATATTTACATATATTTTTATTTTTATTTATTTATACAATTATTCTTATATATAATTCTTAAATGATTTACCTATTATATTTATATTTAAATAAATTCAAATAAATTATCCTTATATTACAAAAGATAAAAAAATTATATTATCTCTATTAAATTTAAATCTAAAATTAATTAAAAAAAAAATGGATCACATATAATAACTTTCAGTACAAGATGCCAAATCACTAAACTTATTAATTTAGAAAGCGAAATCTATCGAAAAAGAAGACTCATATGACGAACAAACAGTATAAACACCTTTCGAAACTATCCGAAAAGGCTCTATATGTCAAATATGTTAAATATAATAATCTAAATATACTTGCCCAGGATGTAATAGTGTTACTTGTAGTTTAAAATGTTGTAGAGAGCATAAAACATAATTTCAATGTGATGGGAAATATAAATATTCGTAAAAAATTAACAAATAAAATTTAACAAATAAGACTATAATGAAAGATTATTCGTTTATTAGAAGAACTATGGAAAATACGGAAAATATAAGAAAAAAAATTTCTTTTTCTTAATAAAATTCAGATATTTTGAGACATAAATTGCTTAAAATTTAGGCGAAAAAAAGGTTATAAATTAACGTTAAATTTGCCCCGTAAATCATGGAAAAACATCGAGAAAATTTGTCATTTTTTTATGTTAAAAATAAGTGCTTTTATTGGACAATAGAATTCATATAGGTCTTTTTTTAAAATAAAAATGAGAAAAATGTCAATAGTATTAGTAAAGAGCCTGTTTGTGATCGTTTAAGCATATTTAATATTATATAAGAAGAAAAGTATGTTAATTTTTTTGAAGAAAAAGCATTTTTAGAATTTGGTTTGGAAGTTAATGCATAAAATATTGATTAATATGCATTTTTTGTGAGAAACTTTTATAAGTTAAGTGATGTTAAGGAATGTAAGGAAGGATTTTTTAATGTTTTTTAGGTACCAATTGAGTTTTAAGTCAAAAAAGAAGGAATAAATGAAGATTTTTAGAAAAAAATTAGAATGATTTAAATAAAGAAAGATGAAAAGTTAAAAGAAGTATTTAAATGTATGTAAATTTTAGAATTTCCTTAAATTTATATTGTACATAAATAGTTTTTAGAAGAATTAAATAAAAAATATAATTATATTTAAATATGAATAAAAAATAGATATATATATAAATATCATTAATATATATATATAAAAAATAAAACTAAAGAATCATTTAAAATAAAAAAATGAAATTTAAATAATATATATATATATATATATATATATATATATATATTTATAATTATATCATAAATTTAATTATAATAAATAACATCCTTTAGGCTCTATATCAGTATAATAATTATCTATAGTTTCTGCTATTTAAAATCCAAATTTTTTATAAAAGGCTAAACCAGGATTATTTCCAACTTACATATGTAAATAAATATGCTTTATTTCGCTATCTTCATTTGCTAATTTTAATAATTCATTCATTAATTAAGAACCTATTTTATGTTTTCTATATGCCGGTAATACACCTATTGTTAATATATATATAGATTATTCATTGTTATGTTCTTCTTAACGACAAGTCATTGCTCCAACAAGAATATCATTAAAATAAGCTTTTATATATACATATATATTTTATATTTTGAAAAAATAAATGATAATAATTAACCTAAACGCGAATATTTATTGTATGATAAGACTTTTGCATAAAACGATAAAGAATACTATACAGGAAATGTTACAGTATTTAAGGTACGTAATAATTCATAATTTTTATCGTTTACATCACCAAATTAAACTTTCATTTATGGATTTTATGTATTTTCCATGTTTTTATTTTTTAATTTTTTAAATTAAATTATATAAAAATATATCTTTTTTTTTTTTTATTTCAATTTAATGATATTATTGGTTTTCTAAATGCATCACATATTTATGTTCTAAAGCATTTCTAAATCTAAATCTATATTATATGAGCCACCTTATAAAGGATATTTTATCTTATGTTTAAGTGTAAGTAATCTAAATAAAAAAAGTATATCTTTATTTATCTCATCTTTATTTTTTATTAATTTTTCTTATATAGCCTAATTTAAACTTTGTTCTATCCATTTATTTTATACACTTCTTAAAAGGTTATCTTTATTAAGTAGCTTTCTTTATATAAATATGTAAATATATAAGAATATATTTTTTAAAACCCTACTGATATAGTTAATTTTGGAATTAAATATGTCTCTGGAATTAATTTTTTTAATATTTCAATTAATGTTTTTATATTAGATATTAATTTATTATAGGTTAATAATAAAACTTCTAATCCTTTAAATTAATTTTTTAAATCTTTTAAATTTACAGTAAAGAGGATTAAAGAATTTCTTATGATATTTATATATTTTTTTATTTTTTAAAAAATTTACACTTTCTTTTCTCCTTACATATCTTAACTTTTTTAAAATAATTCAAAAATTAAAAAAATTATACTTTTTCTTAAAAATAAAGCTACTTATATAACATTTTCTATATATATATATAAAAAAAAAAAAAAAATATTTATAATATATTTAAAAAAATTATTATATATATATTATATATATATATATATATATAAATATATATATATATATATATATTTTCATGTAAATTTATATACCTGTTATTTTTTTACTTACATATGTATCTTTTTCTTCTTTATTTTCTTCTAATTAATATTAACCACATTAACTATTATTAAGTGATTTAACTTCTTTTTCCTTTTTTAATCTTCCTTATTCTTATCTTTCTTTTATTTATAAAATATATTTTACTTTCCATAGATTCATACAAGTTGCAAGTAATTTTTTCTTAAACAATTTTCATTTATTTTAATGACTTAATTTAATTTTTCATGTAGATTTTTATGTGCATCTAATGTAAAATAAATTTTTCTTTCATTTTTTTTTCATTAAAGGATACTTTTTTATCTTCTTATACATTTTTAGAATTATTTTCGTCTTTATTATTTTATTACATTCTAGAGTTATCAAAAAAATTGCCGGATGTAATAATACTTTTTTAATATCATCAATTTCTTACTATTTTAATTCCAAGTTTTTTTCAAAGTATTTACTTCATGCATTAAAATACGATTTTCATCATTTTTTTTTTATTTTTTATATCTGAATCTTTAATATTATATTTTAAATGTTAAATTTCATAATCTTTTAATAAAATAGTCTCATTTAATTATTTTTCAGCCTTTTCTAATTTTAAATTCCTTTCACGATTTTCAATCTCTGTTTTGTTTCGCAAATTTTCTAAACAAAAACGAAGAGCCGCTGTTTCTTCTTCTAATTTCCGTTTTATTTCTAATAAATCATTTATATTTCTTCTTTTATCGGCGATTTCCTTATATTTTAATAATTTATATTTGTATATTTATATATATATATACGATATTTTTATCATTTATTTGCTCAGTTAAACTCCTAATATCGAAATAAAATTTTTTATCGCCTTCTTTTAATTTAGATTATAATGTTTATTTATCTTATATTATATTTTCGATTTCATTCTTTTTTTTATTTTAAATATTAATTTTATTTTTTTATTTACTAATAAATTTTTGTTATCATCTGTTTACATAGATATTCTTATTTACATATCTTTATTTGTCAATTCGAAGTTCTCAATCATTTTTTATTAATCTACGTATATTAAATACATATTTTTTAGTGTTTATTTATACTATAGAGTGTCTTTTTGTATTCTTTCGAGTTCAGTTTTTAAAATATTATTCTTTTTTTTTTCTTATATATATGTACTGTTTTATTTTATTTTACTTCTGAAATTAAATTATCTATTTAAGACATTTATTAGGAAATAACGCATTCTCTTTACTATTTTATTTTTTTAAAATAATATGAATAATGGAAATACGTTTGCGTAATCTTTTAATTTATTTAATTCGTTTATATAATAAATTTCATTCATATTTAATTTTTTTTGATTTTTAAAAATATTTAAATAAATAAATTAAATTATATTAAATATTTTTTTAATATGATATAAAAATAATTTATAATAACATATTAATAAATTTATAAAGAATAAGTTTACTTACTTATATATATAAATCTAAAATAAATAATCTAAAAAAAACATATATAAAATTTTATTACATAAATATGAATATAAATATATATATATATATATATAAATATATATATATATATATTTATATATTTTTTTACTTATATTTATTAGTTTAATAATTTATTTTATATTTATATATAGACCTCATATTAACTATATTTTCTATAAAGATTTATCTTTTTTAAATTAATAAAGTGAAAATTCATATAAAAATTATTATAAAACTTTGACAAAGATGTCAAGTTTGTTTTTAAGATATATAAATTACCATTACCTAAATGTACTTATTTTTTTTCATTTTTTTATAAATAAAAAAATATTAATAAATAATAAATGAAGTATTATTCTTTTAAACATAATTAATATTATTTAATATTATATAGAAAAATTTTAATATAATTTTAAATAAAAATATTATTCCTATTAAAATTAAAATGATAAGACAAAAATAATATTTAATGTTTAAATATACTGTTTTACAAAAAATAACATTTAGAATAATCTTTAATCATATAATATTATTATACTAAAAAAATATAATAAATAAATTTTATATGTGAAATTTATAATAAAATATGTATTATATTAAAATAAAAAAGAGAATATAGATATATTATTTTAAATATATAAAAATGAGATAAATATATATATTTTAAAATATAAATGTTTTAAATATATTTATTTTTCTAAAATAAAATGAATTTTAAATTTTAAAAAATGCATAAAATAAAATCTAAATTATATTATAATTAATAATTAAAAAATGTTAATAATATTTATATTTGTAAAAAAAAAATTAATATATAATAATGAAAAAAAAATCTAATTATAAATATAGAAAAGACATATAAATATAAAATAAATAATATATATAAATAAAATAAAAAAAAAATAAACATTTAAATATGTGTATAATAATACAAACTTTTTAATAAATAATTAATCTACTCAAATTATAAATAAATATAATTTTTAAATAAAATTAAAGATATTATTTTTTTGTTAAATAATTAATATATATTTATTATTATTTATATAAAAAAAAAATTGAGGACTACGTGACTCGAACACGCGACCGTTGGATTTGGAGTCCAACGCTCTACCAATTGAGCTAAGTCCCCTTTGTTAGAATAATATTAAATGAAAAATATTTTATAAATTTGTTTTTAGGATTATATGGTATTAGTAAAATTTATATCATTTATATTTTTTTTTATTTTCTTTTTTTTATTCTCATAAAATATTTTTTTTTTTTTTTTATTTTTTTTAAAATGATGACTTTAAAAATATTTCTTATTTATTTTTGAATATAAATTAGTTAGTCTTTTTTACAAAATTAATGATGTAATGGATAATGGTTTAAATATATAATTTTCATTTAATATTTTATTTTGGTTTTTTTTATATAATAAAAGAAGAATATTCCAAAACATTATTAATTTACTTATAAACATCGAAAAGTAATATAAACTCTTAAAAAAGCTGATAAATAAAAAAAAATATTTTTAAAAATATTATGTTATAAAATTAAAAGCTTTTTTATTAAAAATTATTATATATATATGAACAATTATAATTATATTATTACAAAAAAAATAATATATATTTTCAAATATTTTTTAAAATAAATAAAGTAATAAGATATAAATAATTAATTATTTAATATTTAAAAAAAAAAAGTAAATAATATATAACTGTATTTTATAAATTTATAATAATATCTATTATTAATATAATAGAATATTAAATAATAGAAAATAAAATATATCCTTATAAATAATAATAAATGTCAGTATTTTATACTTTAGAAGAAGTTGAAAATTTAGATACAAATTTATATGAATTAAAAATCTTTTTGGAGAAGAATATTTAATATTATATAAATACATATATAAATATATATATAAATATATATATATATTAATGTATGTTTTTTGTAATTATTTTAAGTTTTTTTTTTTTAATAGAGGAAATTAAATAGAAGATGTAGGAGTGACATAAATTTAGAATCAAACAAAGAATTTAAAAAAATTAAAGAGCCTTAAATTGGATTTAGAATATTTTTTAGTTTAAAAAGATTAAAAATAATATATATATATAAATATATATATAAATATATATTTATATATATATATATATATATTTATATAAATATAATTAAGATCTAATTGTATTAATGACTAAGGAATCTATTAACTTTCTTAGTTATTAATAAACTTCAACGATTTAGAGCATTTAAAAATAGATTTATTGTAAAAATAACAATTTTTATTTTAAATTACATTTTTTAATTAAGTTATAATAATAATAGTAAATAAGGTGCCAATTTATTAAAAAATTCAATTATTTAACTAAAATCATTAAAGTATTTACATATAGAAACTAAGTACATATTATTTTATTTTTTATTGAAAATTATACATATAAATATAGGTTTGATTTTTTATAAGATAAAACTTTTTTTTTATAACATATTCCAACTTTATAAAACATTAATAATTGAAAAATAAAAATAATTACATATTTATTATTTTTATTTAAAAAAAAAATATAATATTTGATATCAATTTTTTTTTTTTAAATATATTATTTCTTCAGTCTTTTTTCTTGTCTTTTTTCTTATCTTTTTATCCTTTAACTTTTATATTTTAATCAGTTTATTTATATCCATAATAAATAATAAAAGCAATAATACTAAATATAGTTCCAAAATACAAATATTTAATAATTTAAGATGTTTCAGATATAGAAAGACCACCGATTTTAGGTTCTAATGAAATTTTGTATATATTTTCATCTACAGGTTCTTTTTTAGGTTATTAAGCCATTTTTTCATCAAACATCTTTTTTTATTTTTAAATAATAAGCATAAATATATTAATATATATGCCATATATAATATACTGTTATATATTTAAGAATGCTTTATTTTTATTCATCTAAGAAAAGTGACCATTCATCAATTTTATATTAATCTAAATCTAATTTACTATATAGTTAAGGGTATTTTTCGAAATTGAGTTTTTTTGTATTTAATTATATCAAAACCTTTAAATTTATTTATTAAAATAATTAATAAATAAAAAATAAATACTTCTTCTTAATTTGAGTTTGCTTAAAAATATCCTTAACACATATCAACCATATCTACTATTAATCTATTTTCGAACTTCTATATATCTTCTTCTGTCTTAAAATGCTTTCTTACATTTTCTACTTCTTCTTTTATTGTTTCTAATTTATAACGCGATATGAGAATACATATAGAATATTATCTTCTTACTATTTATAAATATTCATCATTTAATTTTTGATGCGTAGCTTTTTATTTATTAAATTATAATTATAAATATTTTTTATTTTTTATACCTTCGATTTCTTTCCTTTGTTATTATTTTTCTAATTCAGCTTCAGTTTAAGTTAGTGTAATAGTTATTAAAAATAAAAATAACAAAAATATATATCTTTTAATCATTTATTTTATATAATTTTTTATTATTAATATTAATTTATACAAATTAATATATATAATATAAATATATAATCTTAAATTTTTAATTTTGTTTTAAAATACGTGGATATTAAATATATAATTTGTATATAATAGATTTTTGCTTTTATGAAATAACGATTAGATTTATATTTTTGACTTTATTATTAAATATTTAATTAATAATAAAATATTATTATTAGTTTATTTTAAAATAAATTTTTTATTTAATTAAAATAAATAAAAAAAATACATATTTTATAATAAATAAAAATATTTATAAGAATAAATTTATTTAAATAACATATATATATATAAAAAATATTTAATTTTTTAAAAAATAAAAACATTAAAAATATGGAAAATATATCAGAATATAAATAAATAAATAACAATACATAACATTTGGTTGTATTTTTTATATTTTTTGCATTATTAATAGGATGTTTATTTAGAGGAATAAATAAATCAACCAAAATACCATATGCACCAATGTTAATAGTGTTTGGAATATTAATATCAAATTATCGTTCTTACTTAGGTAAAAAATTTATATATGTAAATATAAATATATATATATATATATATATATATATATATATATATATAGGCATTATTGGTTAAAGTTTATTATTAATAAGTAATATAAATCCACATATGATTTTACTTATATTTATTCCAGTTTTAATATTTGAAGCAGCTTTTAATATAGATTGGTTTGTATTTAAACGTACTTTAAAGAATATTTTAATATTAAGTGTTCCAGGTGTATTTATATAATCTATAATGTTTGCTATTTGTATAAAAATATTCTTAAATCATGACGAAATTTCCATATATGGGTCTTTGGCAATGGGTTCTATTTTATGTGCAACAGATTCTGTTGCTATTGTTGATCTTTTAAAGGAATTAGGTGCTTCAGTCAGATTTAATACACTTTTTTAGGGAGAAAGTCTGCTAAATAATGGTACTGCGATGGTTTTTTATTAGGTTTTTATTAATTTAGATAAAGGTAAAAGCTTTAATTTTTTCGATGTGATTTTCAACTTTACCTATGTTTCAATAGGAGGTCCTATTTTTGGATTATTAATGGGTATTTTAGGTAGTTATTGGATTAGAAGGATTATTAGAGATGACGTTGTGACGTGTATGGTTAGTTTTGTCATATGTTATATTTGCTTTTTTTTAGCCGAGTATACTTTTTTAGGTGTTTCGGGTATACTTGCAGTATTTATTTTAGGGCTTTTTATGTCAGCTAATGGAAAGACTTAAATACGCCCTTAAAGTGAATAAAGTGTATATACAGTGTGGAGTTTTGCCTAATATGGGTGCGAAACTTTAATTTTTATACTTGCAGGTGTGCTTATAGGAATTAATGTGATAGAATAAAGTACTATTGAAAACTGGGATTGGGTAAGGTTGGCTTTTTTATGGGTTTTTTTAGTTTCTATTAGGTATTTTATGTTTATGGGTTTTTTGCCAGTTCTTTAGAAAAATGGATATTAGATTTCATAAGATGAAGTGTATCTTTTAGTCTGGGGAGGATTAAGAGGTGCATTAGGATTAACTATATCGTTAATTGTTTTAGTAGATGAAGAAATTTAAAGTAGTAGATTAAAATAAATAACAGTTTTTTATATGGCAGGAATTAGTACTATTACATTAGTAATTAATGGAACTACTTGCGGGTAAAAATAAATAAATATATAAATATATATAAATATATAAATATATATATATATATAAATATATATAATTATATTTATTATATTATTATTAATAATTATTTATATATTTAAACATATATTATTTTTAATATTTAGTATTTTAGTTGAATATCTTAATGTTATTGAATTTCCTGGTATACGTAGGAAAATTCTATAAAATTCTATAAAAGATATGGTTTCTGCTTGTGATGAAAAGATGAAATAATTAAAGACTTATTAATTTCTTGAAATGGCAGATTGGGAAAAAGTCGAGAAAATATCTGGTTTAATGGAAATAAAAACATAAAATATATAATAAGAAGATGTAGTTTAGAGTTAAAGAAGAAGTACTTATGGAGGATTTGAAAAAAACGAGATTTTGACAGAAATAAGGTTTAGATTATTAAGAAGTTTAAAGTCCTTGTATTGGGAATATTATGAAAATGGATAAATTAGTGGTAACGCAGTTAAATTATTATAAGAAGGAATTAATATAGCCTTAGAAAATACATAGAATGAACTAAAATAATTATGGGATTTAATATATATTAATTTTACTAATTTTTCTACTTTAGAAATAATGTTTGCTATAAATAATTGGTTTATTATAGGTATATATATAATAAATAGATTTTTAATTTTATATATTAATAATATTATAAAAAAAATAAAAAATTAAAACATTTATATAATAAAAAAATACATATATATTATTATATTTATTCATATATATATGTATTTTTTTTATAATTTAGGTGGTTTTGCTAAAACATATATTACTCATCATTTAACTTTTGTATTTGAAGTTGTTTAGACATTTATTATATGTTCGAAAGAAATTGAAGAAATATAAAATTTTTTACCTTTAAGGAAAGATTTTATTGAGAAAGTTAATTAAGAACTTCAATTTGGAGTTATATAAGCTTAAAAATATTTAGCTGAATTATCTAATAATTTTCCCCAAATTTTGAAGTCAATACACACGAAAAGGGCGGCTTGTTCTATTATTGAATACTAGAAGAAATTTTTACTGCATTATAAGTCTAATGGCTATATTGATGATTAAGACTATAAATAATATTTAAAAAAAATCGAAAAGAAAGGTGTTAGATTGGAAAATATGTCTTTTGATTGGAGCCTACCGACTTTTTAGTCTATTCTTTTATAATTTCCTATATTTTCTTTATTGTCTCCTTTATAATTATAGTCTTTATAGAATAATTAAATGATAAAAAATTTCAAGTAAGGGGAAGAAATATACACTAAAGGTTAGCCTTTTAAAAGTATTTATATAATCTCTAAAGGAACTGTAAAAGAAATCATTACAAAAGATTTTTGGATTAGTGTAGGAATTGGAGGTTTTTTAAGTTATGCACATTGTGTTTGCGAAAATGATGATTTTTCATTTTGTTCGGCAGTTGCATTAACTGATGTAATGGTAAGTTGTATCCCTTTTAGTATTATTTAAGGGATTATAAGGTAAAATAGAGAATTTGAATAAAAAATTTATGTAAAGGCAATGATTTATTTCGTTAAAGTATACTAAGAATAGGCAGGACCATTAAAAATGATGAATGAAAATACACTTTTTGAATATTGCGAAAATGCAAAATTTTTAGTTTTAGAAAAAGGAGAGGAAATTGTATGCGAATTTGGAGGATATTTAATTACTGGAGGAGTAAAGAAAAATTAAGAAATTGAAGAAATTTAGGATTTTACATATTTATAACCGTCTATATTAAAAATCTAGGTAAATAAAAATAGCTATTTAATTAAGTTTTAAACTTTAATTAATTTAAGAACATCTTATTTAGGGTATTTTTATTAAATTTTTAATGTTTTATATTTTATATATTTTTATAGAGATAGTATGTAGAAAATAAATAATACAGAATAAGAATTGTAGAATGTTATTACGATATAATAATAATTTTGATGTTAAGTATTTTATTTTTTAATTATATATTTATGATATTTATAATAAGGAATTTTTATTTTTATTATAATTAATATTTATAAAAAAATATATATTTAATTTAAATAAATATATATAATATTTATTATATATATATTTTATTTATTTTAATTAATTTCTTTTATATTATAAATATATGATATATTATTTTATTCATAATTTTTACAATATAATTTATAAAATTATTATATATTATAAAAATTTTAATTATTGATTAATTTTATATTTAAATATAAATACAAAATTAATTATTAAATATAAAATTTAAAAAAATAATATTGTACAATAAAAATTACTATTATTTTATTTCATTTTATTGTTTTTCCTTAAAACAATTTAAGAATTAATTATATAATTTATTTATTTTATTTATCTCTATCTATTAGTAATTTTGCTAATTATTATTTACTGATTTTTTATTAACCTTATAAAATTTATTCAATATATTTTTCGAGTTAATCTTTTTAAAATATATTCTAAAATGCACTTTAATAAAATATTTTATTTATTTAATATTTATATATTGACATTTCTTCATCTTCATCTAAAAAATCCATAAAAAGTAAAATTTTTTATTATTAATAACCATCCTTTTAATATATATATATATATTTATATATATTATTTTTTTTATATATATTTACTTGCATAAATTTACATAAAGTTAGAAAATCATTAAAACTGCAATTATTTCCAAAACGTTTAAAAGATAAAAATGCTATTCTATTTAAAAAAATTTTATCTTCTAAATCTAATTAACTATAATGTATTGTATTATAGAAAGATCTATTCATTTCAAATGTCATGATTATAGGATTTTCATCACTATTTTGTATATTAAGAATTTTTTTTAAATTAATCTATTAGCTTTAAATGTTTATTCCGTTATTTTTTATGTATTCTTCATAGAAAAGATAATATATCTGCGTTAAATTTTTAAAATATAAACTTTTTTCAAATGTAGGAATACTAAAGTCTTCCATTTTTTTCCATTCATTTATTAATAATATGGCATTATTATTAGGTTTTACTTATTAGTTATTATTCTAAGTTAAAAAAAAAATATATAAATTTATAAATATATACATATTTTATAATTTTAAAATATTTTTTTAATATATTTTACAGTTATAATAGTTGAATAGTTGGTCTTAGTTGAAATTTATTTTTAGTAGTTATCTGTTAGTTTATATTTACCTATATCTTTAATTTGATTTTCTCCTTCTTGTTAATAAATATAAATTTTATGTTAATTTCCTTTAATTCCTTAATGGAAAATATCAAAACAATTTTAGCAAAAGCTCAACTAGCATTTTAAACAATAAAAATTTGCCAATATTTTATTACAATCAGAACATTAAACTAAGGGAATTATAGAAAATTATAAAATTTATTATAATTTATTTATTAAAAGCTGCCTTTCTATACTTACATAAGATTTTTTTAAAATTTATATTAGTTAAAGATAATAATCCGGTTTTAAATTTTATTTATTTATATATTAATTTTATATTTAAGAAGAAGAATCATATTATTAAACAGAAATGTCTTTTTCAAAAGGCATGAGATTAAATTTGCTATATTTTTTGTAGTATTTAATTTTTTATTTTAATTAATGTTCTTCTATTTATACTTTTTTTTCTTTCTAGATTTATCTCTCATGTATTTTTTATATATTAATTTTTACTTTTTCTATATCATTTAAAATATCTTAATATTCTTAATTTTATATACTAGCATCATTTCTATGTATTTATTATTTAATATATAAAAATATATAAAATATTATTATTATTTTATAATGAAAATAACTTTTTTTTTTCAGATATAATATAATTTAATTTTTTTTCCTCTGAAAGAATCCACTAAGGCTTATCCTTTATTAAATATTAAAAAGTCATTTTTAATACAAAAATAATTCCTCCAGCACCAAAGTAACACCATGATTTATATTATTATAATTATATAGTATCTAATTCAGTATTTTTGAATACAATATCTATTAATTATTTATCTTTTAAATATAATAAACCTATATTAGAAAACTAAAAATATTTAAATATATATAAATATATATAAATATATATATATATATATATATATATATATATATATAATTAATACTATTGATAAAAAAAATAAAGCTTCCCATATATAAATCCAATCATTTATTCCTACACATCTTTCGCAGGAAGGTCTTTTAATTATATCTAAAAAAACAATAATTTTATTCCTAATTTCTAAAGTATTCATTAATAAAGCTATCATAGGTCCTATAGGGAATGCTGCTGCGAATAATGTAATATAACCTAGATCAATAAAACTATCTGCATATTAATTTATAGTTCCAAAAAAATCACTTCTAATAGAATTTAATTCAACTGAATCAGCATCTATTTTATTAACAATTAATAGAGGCGGATTATTATTTTTCTAATCTTCATCTTTTTATAAATATAATATAGTTCTTGAATATGTCTTCATTTTTTTTCCTGTATGTCTTTCCCAGTATTACTCTATAGAATCTTATTAAAAAATTTAATTTGTGAGCATTTATTATTATTTAATAGTTTCTTCTTACATATTTCTAAAATATTTTCTTTCTCTATATTTAAGAATATATTTAGGAAACCAAAATGATAAAATCATATAATTTATCTTTATAAATAAAATATATATATAATGATAAATAAATATATATATATATATATATATATATATATATATAATTACTTATTTTATTAACATTATAGGCAATAACATATAAAATATATCTGAAAATGTGTTATTAATTTCAATAAATGATACATAAAATAAAGAAAAATAGCTGTTAACAAATTTAAATACAACTAATTTATATATAAGAGATCTTTCGTACTATTCCTCATATTTATGATTTTCTTATTTTACAAAAAAAAAGCTATTATAGTATAAACCATATTCAATATCTATATACCTACTCCTTAAAGAATACCTGCCACTATATTATTATAAAAACCTTAATAATTCTTTTTAAATTATTAAACCCCTATAAATATTAACACAATACAACTTGTTAAAATAATCAATACTGGAATACTAACTAAAAAAATAATTACCTTTTTGTATAAATATAGTATTAAAATATATATATATATATATATAATATATATATATATATATATATATATATATTTATATATATATATAATATTTTACAGTTCTAGCTCTATCTTAATGTTTAGTTAATTCGCCTGAAGTATGCGAAATGCATTCATCCCCAATAAAATCCGATCGTATTTTTTTCATTAAAGAATTTGGATTGTTCATTTCATCTAGTGTACCCCATCTGTAGTTTATTTCTGAAGTTTTTCTCTTCCAATACTCGATTATGAAAGTTCCCCAAATCATCACGAAGAATACCCAAAATGGAATAAATATATGGTCAAATTAATTTATTATAAGGCCATAAATTTATACTCCTAAACCTGGAATTGCTAAAAAAACCAAAAAGCATGTTGTAAAACTTTTCCAACCAAAAAAAAAGCGATTTTTTCACCAAAATATTACCTTAATAATGTCACAGAATTAAAGTTTTAGCCTTTTCCTTCTAATAAATAATCATCCATTTAGTTTAAAGGCTATGGAAAATACCATTTAGTATTTTCGATCCATTTATCTTTTATTTTAGCCATTCCACCGTATTTATGCATCTTATAATAACAATAAACTAACTTTTAATTTTTTAAATCTTATAAATTTATTATCTTCTATAAAGATTATTCAATAATTTCTTATCTTTATTTAGAACGAAAAGGTTCAAATTTATGCTTTTAATCAATATTATACACTTCATAATCGTATGAATCTATTTTTTTCATTAACATCTAAAAATATATATATATATATAAATATATATATATATATATTTATATAATATATATATATATATATATATATATATATAAATTCAATAAGTATTTTTTTATGATTTATTTTTAATTTATACTAATAAATTTATATATATATATTTTTATAAAATATTATTTATATATTTTTTTTTTACTTTATTTTCTTAACAAGCTTTTCTTAATTTATCTTATTCCATACATAACATTACATATAATTTATTTGGATAAAGAGATTCCATTAGGTATACTTAAAAATCTGAATTTTTTAAAAGATTTATTTAGAAATTTATTCTATTAATTAATGCTTCTTGTTAATTAGGATTTTCGCTCGTATTTTAAGCTTCTGTGTTAAAAACAATTACATAATCCGGAACATAAATCTAATTTCCAAAATTATATAATTAAGAATTTAATATATTAGATGTTTCACCTATTTTTGTTGCTTTTATCTTCTAAAATGCCTTATTTAAATTATATTCCATTGTTTGAAATCTTTTATTATTTCTGTTTTCAATTTCTATTAACTTTTTTTCGTATTCAATATCTATTTCATTAAATTATATAAGTTCTCGTGCCTACCATCCTTCTTTATTCTCTTTCTCTATAAAAGCTCCATTTGTTAATAAAAGTTCTACAGCTTTCATATTTCCATTTATAAATGATAAATGCAAAGGGGTATTACCGTATAAATCTTATCTAAAAAATAAAAAATAAAAAAAAAATATATATATATTATTTTTTTACAAATTTAAAAAATCTTAAATACTATTGAACTAGGGAGAATTCATTAATTATTCCCATTTATCAAATTATCTAATTTCATCAAGAAATTATTTTTTATAAAATTTTTATTCTTATTTAAATAAAAATAATACATCATTATTTTAATAAGAAAATTTTCTTTTTTATTAATTTGCATATTAGAAATTTTTCGTTTTTTTTATTTTTAATTAATTCATTAATAAAGATATAAAATAATCTAAAATCTCAATATTTTAATTATCTAAATGACCTACAACAGTTGCATGTAAACTATTCATTTACTAATTATTTTACCTATTAATATAATATGTTCTAATATATATAATCATTCTATATATATATATACATATTACATTTTAACTACTATAAAACTTCTTGAAAAACTACAAGCTTTTTTTATTAAATTTAATTCTAATTTAAAAAAAGCCGACCAAAAAATAATTCTATATTTTAAAATTGGAGATAATAAATATTTTCTTTAATTTTATAATAAATAATCTTCTTAATTTTCTAAAAAGCAATCTGATAAAGGGAACTCTAAATCTAAAAGATTATTTTTTTAGCTTTATATATAACCTTCTACTTTTTATATTTTCTATATAACTTCCTTAGTGATAATCTCGACTACCTTACTACTATTTTGGACTGAAAGAGCCGCTAAATCAATCGGAAATTGTCCTATCCAATCAGGAAAACATGAGAAAGCTCCGTTTTCAATTAATAATTATACTGAAAGAGGATCTCCGTAATATGCACACCAATGTAAGGCTGACCAAAGTGTTCTTTTATTCCTTTAATTTACTTTTGCACCATGTTATATTAGAATTTATATACATAAATGTCTTTCTGTTAATGAATTAGAATAATTATATAGACACGTCATTAATAAAGGCGTATTTTGAAACCTATCTTATTCATTAATATAGGAGTTGAGTGAAATTTATTTATTATTAATTAATTTTATTTATGTATTTCTTAATATTTCTTAGAAATCATCAAGAAGTTTATTAATTAATTTATGATTCTATTTTATGCATGCTCTATGTAGTATATTACGGTTTTAATTATTAGTCATTAAATAATCAGATAATAATAAGTTGTTTTATTAAGTTTTTAAATCATCTTTATCTTTAAGATTTTTAGCAAAATTAGACTTTTATAGTATTTTTGATAAATTTTAAATATCTTTTTATTAATTTTAATGAGCATTTGATTCACTTATAGTATCTATATTTTTATTCATATATATACAAGTTGCTTTATTTTATATATTTGAAAATTAAATTTAAAAAAAATAATATATATATATATATATATATATATATATATATATATATATATATAAATATAAATAAAAATAAAAAAATGAGTAATATTTGTTTTATATGTAATAATAATAAAATTTAAAAATAAATATAATGTAGTTATTGTTTTAATATTTATCATTAATAATGTTATTAATATAATATTTAAAGTGATTTTTTATGTATTTAATGTCGTTTATTAATAAATGAGCCAAATATTTATGAAATTTAGTATATAAAAGGTCCTTTTTTTATAAAAAATAAACAGTTTAAATTTTAAAAGGAAATTTTGTTTTCAGCTAAAAATAAAGATGAAAAAATCGCTTTTTTTTTAACCAAAGTTTAATATGTTTTTTCAAAGGACAAAAATTCAGTTTTTTTATGGCCTTCAAATTAAATTCCTATTAGTTTAAATGGAAAATTACTCTAATTTTAAATAGATAAAATTCTTGCTTTTCCAAAGGAAAATTTGCTCAAAAACAACAATAAATTAATTATATATATGCAAGAAAATAATCAATTTAATATTTCTGATATAGTCTATGGACTTATTTAAGTTAAAGAAAGGCATTTTGATGATATTATAGAATAAATAGTCCTTTAGCAGCCCATAAGTTACCGATTTTTTGAAGAAAAATACTAGAATTTATCTTAAGAAATGCATATATTAGTGTCTTTACTTGATTAAATTAGTAACACATAGATTATTTGGCCATGTAGGGGTAATTAATGTGAACATATTTAGCCTTTTTGTATGTATTCTTATTTAAAAATGAATGTTTTAGGTGGAAATGCTGGAAAAAATAGATGGAAATGTGTAGTTTGTGGGAAAAGTGTATATTTTAAAGATTTAATAATTGATAAGTTTTTTTATTGGAAATTTTTTAGGGGTAAAAAAGATGACGAAAATTTAAAAAAATAAATATTTTTTAATGAGTTTTTAGAGGTGAAAATTTCGGGGTAAAAAAAGGAATTCTTAATTGAAAAAAATAAGGAAATTCAGTATAAATTATAAGGGAATTTTAAAGTTTTTTAATTGAAAATTTTTAAAGAAATTTCAATGATTAAATAAGCTTAAAGTAGTAATTTTTTAGCAATTTAAGAGTTAGATTTTAATATTTTTATAATTTCAGAAAAAGATCTAGCCTGGGATATGTAAGATTTCGATGTTTTGGAAAAGGTTAATGAAGATTTTGAAAAAAAAAATTATTTTTAGTTTAAAAAAATATAAGATTTAGTTAAAAATAATATGAGCTTTTTGACTAAAATATTAATTTTTAATAGTTTAAAAGGATTTAAATTTTTTTAGAAGGAAAAAAATCTTTAATTTTTTTAAATTTTATGTTTTTAGTACGGAAATTTTTTAGGAAAGGATAAAATAAGAGGGATTTTTTGTGGAATTTTTTTTTTTTTTTTCTGTATTTTTTTAGATTTAGAGATATTTGAAATCATTGAATTTTTTATGTTTTTTATAGAAAAAAATATAATATTAAAAAATTTAAAAAATAATTTAAAAGCTTAGTATTTTATTAAATAAGTTTCTATGACTTTTTTTTAGTGTTTTTAAATTATTTCATAAAAATAATTAATTTTAAATATTTTTATAAAGATTGCCAAAGAATTAAAAACAAAAAACTATTGTTTTTAAACATTTTTATTAAATATAATAAGTAATAATAAAATAAATAATTTTACTTGAATATAATACACATTAAATAAATTTTATAAATTAAACATACATATATATTTATTTTTTATTTAATAGACATTGTATAAATATATAATAATAATATTTTATATATAAATTTAATAAAGTTATTTATGTCAAAATTTTTTTTAATAAATATATAATTAATTTTTTTTAATTTGTATATTTATATTCATTTAACAATTCTTTTTGTTTCATAATAACCAAATTCACTTGGTATTCTATAATCACCTAATTAATATATATATATATATATATAAATATATATATATATATATATATATATATATATATATATATATATATATATATATATGATATTTTTATATTTATAATAATTCTTTTATTTATACCTGGTCCTGGGTTTTAAAGTGATCCTTAAGGTAATGGTAATCTTTTTGAACGCGGAAAAAATCTACAACCATTAGAAATGTATTTAGAAACTATATATTTTCCATCATTAGCTATAGATTAAGGTATAGGATATTATCTTTATATATTAATTATATTAATTTTATATAAATAATTACCCTGGTCCGGGATATTAATCTTTTTTATTATGTTAAAATCTTTTCGAAGATAGAGGATTAAATTACATAGAACTTGAACTTATTTTTTATAAAAATATAAAAATATTTTTATTTATACCTTTTATATTTAGATATAAAGTATTTTCCTGTTTTATTTATTTAATTTAAATTTAAATAGGACTTTAATTGAAAATATATAAATTCGTTTATAAAATATGTATATATAATTATGTATATAAATACATATATATATACATAGTTATATATATATTATATACTCCTGGTCCAGGCGATTTTGTGCTTGTAAAATTAATGTCTTTAAAAATAAATGTATTAATAATTATTAAAAGAAATTATTTGTACCAGGACAAACTGTTTTTTTTCCAATTGAATATGATTTTTAACTTAAACCATTTCCAACTTTATATGTACCAGGACCTGGACTAAATAAATTCAGTCCACCTAATGGACCAAGATGTTTAGCCATTTTCTAATTAATTTATATAATATAAATATAAATAATAAAATTAAATGAATATTTAGATATTATATAAAAGAATATTATATATATATTTATATAGATATATATATATATATATATATATATATATATATATATATATATATTTATATATATATCTATATTTAATTTATTTACTTATCTACTTGTACCAAAGGTCCAACCTTATTTTTCATTTTCTTAAATAGTATTGTTTTACTAATTATATGCATTTGGCGCCGGAGTTCTTGTAGATTGTTTTGTAAAATCAACTATATTATTTATTTATTATTTCTATTTACTTTTTATTATTTTTACATTTTTATCCATATCCTATTGATGGAGCTCTTTATACTTTCATTGAAGGTAATTCATAAAAAGCTTATGTTGAACTTTGTTTTTTATATCTTATTTTTTTCGATTTTTGATTTTTTTTACTGTAGATGATTTTAAGATCGAAATCGACGGTCTTTTGGAAAAGAATACATTTATTTTGATTATGAAAAATTTAATGGTGAATTGCATATTTATTATGGAGTTGAAATTATTACTGACATATGTATTGTAACTTTTTACTTATATATATTTTTTTTATTTATATGAAATAATTTTTATTAAATATTTTTTTTTATATATATATATTTTATTTCATAATTTAAAATTTTATTTTAATTTTATATTTTTTTATATAATTTAATTAATTTTAATTTAAAATAATTATATTTTATGCAAAATTATTTAATAAATCATGTAAATATGTATTTAAAATTAATTAATTAAAAAATAATTTGTTAAGTTTTTAAATAATTAATTTAAAGGTAAATAAAATATATTTGTTAATAATACAAAAGAAATAATATTTTAATTTAATTTTTATTTAAATAATATAATTAATAATAATTTATATATAGAAAAATATAAAAATTTGCTTTAATTTAATAATTTATAAAAAATTATTAAATTATTGTAATATAATTAAATAGTCTATATAATTCAAATAATATTTTTAAGCTTTAATTATAATATAAAATTACAATTATAAATATAGTTTAAAAATAAATATTTTATTAAAAATATTAAATAAATATTTTTTTATATAAATTTAATTTAAATTAATTTATTATATAAATATATATAGACTATTTATTTTTTTCTTTATATATTATTAATCAATTTAAAAATTATTTATTTTATATTTTTAAAGAAAATTTGAATAAAATTATAATATTAAAAATAAAAATATAATAGAAGTTATATTTTTATTATATTATTTTTATTTTCTCTTTAACATTTTCGATAAAAATAAAAAACTTCTAAATATATAAATAAAATAAATTATTATCATTTAGTATTATTAAAAGAAAAAAGTAAATTTTTATACTTATATATGCAAAAAAAAAATTAAATAAATAAAAAAAAAAAAATATTATATAAATTTATATATATATATTATTTTTTTAAATATTATATATTTTTTAATAATAAAAAATAAAAAAAATTCTAAATGAATACCTATGAAAACTAACATTTTGTGGCCGACTCAAATTTAAAATGTTTAGCAGATGCTAAACAAGTATTACTAATTTAAAAAACTGATTGGGCCGAATGTATTTGTCCTATATGTGATTTACCAAACGAATACGACATTTTCTTAACTGACGAAACATACACTTAGACCTTAACCCAAATTGGTACGATAGTTGAAAAATCAAATATATGTTGTAGTATATGTTGTAGATAATTCCGTTAATTTGAATCTAGAACAATGATCGGAGGAACGGAAGTTGCTTAAACTGAAAGACCTTATAAGATTCCATCTCCTTGTTTAGCTAATTTTGGACCTTGTAAATAATAGATCGAAGTGAAAAAAAACGGCTAAAATCTCGGTGGTTCGGAATGGCCTTGTTGGTGTAATACACTTTGTTGTTTTAGAGGTTTCTGTAGTTGCTAAGAATTAGATGTTACTGATTCTGTGGGTAATGTAGCCTATAGGATATCGTCAAAATGCTTATAATGTGGATATTTGTTGCCTGTTTGCTTCTGTTTTTAATCATGTGCTAGAAGGCATTATCCTATTAAAAATACTAATGGGTAGGTTGTGGGAGAAATCACTAATATTTGTAACGGAGTTTGCTTAGAATTATGTACTAAAGCTGATAAATTTGCAGTTAGATTTCCTGCAGAATGTACTACTGAGTAGAAATTAATTATATTGTAAACTGCTATGTTTATTGATTATTTGTAATATGAATCTTTTTGCTGATTTGCTTTTTTTATTTATTTTCATATGATATATTATACAATATTATTTTTAGTTTCTTTTTATTTTATATAGAAAAATATATTTTTATTAGAATATATAAGACATTTTATTTTTTTTCTATTTTTTGTTAAGGCTTTATATTTTTATTAAATGAAATATTGATATTTAAAAAATAAGTTTATTTATGATTATCAATTATTATTAAAATTAAAAAAAAAATGTCAAATAAGAACTTTTTTATAATATAATTTAATTTTTTATTTTATTTTTTTAATATATATAAATAAATAAATATTTTAATCTACTTTATATAAATTTCTATTTTTAAGGCTAATATATATTATATAAACTTTCATATAAAACGAGTTTGTTAATTTTAATTTATATTATATTCTAATTAATTAATAATTTATCATAAAGTTTCATTATTTTCTTATTATTTATAAATTTATTATAATTATAAATTATTTTCATAAATATTCTAATTATTATCTTTGCTTTCTTTAAAATTAATATTATTTTCTTATAAATTAAAATTTTATTACAATATTTTATTATTTTCATAATCTTCAATATTTTCTTTAAAATCTTCTTTATTTTCTTAAATATTATTTATTTTTTTATCAAAATCTTCAATAATTTCTTAATAATTATTATTATTGTCTTATTAATTATTATTATGATTAATTAAATCATATACATTGTATCTATAATTTTAATTATTTATTTATTCTTATAATTCTTATTATATTTTTGAAACTTTATCATTTTATTTTTTAGCTTAAATTAAAATATCTCCTAAAATAAACCATGGTAACCCTATAAACCTAACTTCTAGTTTAAAAAGCTTCTAAAACAACTATTTTAAACATCCCTAAAAAAAATCAAAAATCTAATATCTCCTAAAAACCTCCAAATCCATATATAAACCTATACTTTTTCATCTAAATATGATATAATATACCATAAAGACGCTCTAAATAATTTTTTTTATAGATTTTCTTCATTTCCTTCATCTTCTTATTATATGCCTTCATAAAACAAACATTTAAAAGTTCTTTTAAAAACAATTAAAGAAGCAACAATTCTTTATTAAAGCATTTCTCCACTCATTTATATTCGGCTTTCTACTTTTATTAATTTTGTGAAATTTCCTGAATAAATTTCAAATTCATTATATGCACCAAAATAATTCATAAAACAATTCAATTCATCATTATATTATAATATTATATTTAATGCCTTACGTGTATATATTTAATGCTATATATTTAATATATATTTTTTACATATTCTATTTCTTTTTTAAAATCAATTTTATTTTCATCAAAAAATTTAAACAATAAATCTTCATTAATAACTTTTTAATTTAAATTCAAAAAAACAGCCTTTTTTTAAAAAAAAGGTTTATGCTTTGAAAGTCCTTTTACTTATCTATATAAATACCCTAATACACTTTTACTCTCATATTAATTTTTATCGCTTTTTTCCATATAATCAGGAAATTATTTAGACTATAGATTCAAAGGAACATATGGAGATACCCCAGTTTTGGCATAATCTACTGCTTAAGCATGTAATTTAGCTAATTATATACATCTAAAATCAAGAGCAAAAAAAGAACTTTAATCTGCTATTGCCAGATGAGAGTTATCTATTTTACCTAGGTTCTCACAATTAATAAAATCTATGAAAAAATCTAACATTTATTAATCATTAATTTAATTTTATAAGTTTTGTTAAATATTTTTATTATTTTCTTAATCATAATCAAATGGAATGACTTCTTTATTAGGTATTAAACGTTCATCCCAACATATAAAATATTAATCACCATCTAAATCAGATCCTATATATAAAAATAAATATATTTATATATATATTTATAAATATTTATATATAAATATAAATATATATAAATATTTATATATATATTTATATATATTTTTTGCATATATTATATATTTATTTTATACCTGCTATTTATGCTGCAATTGGAATTTTTCCTTTTTTTGGAAAAATTAATACATTTTTATATTCTTTAAGAAACTTTTTGATAAACATATAATAAATATTTATATATTTTTTTATATTTATACATTATATTTTTTATCATTTTTAGTTGAAACAGCATTTAAAATTCTAATATCACCTGGATGTAGACATGGATTTTTTACAACAATTACTTTTCCTTCTATTTCTTAGAAAAGTTCTCCATCCTTACTATAATTTGCGTAAACTTAATTTTCTTCAAGTAGATTAAATTCATCTAATATTCCTAAAAGTCTTGCACTTTTTTCTACATAAATATTACATTTTTTTTTGAGAATATAATATCCTCTATATTTTAAACTATTTAATACTCCGTCTATAAATGGATCTTTTTTTCTATATAATTGTTCATCATACATCTTTTTTAAAAGGACAGTAATTCTATCAAGTTTTTCAATATTTTTTTCAACTAAATTCTCCTCAAAATCGACATTAAAAAGATTATAAAAATTCGCATCTTTAAATCCTTCTTTTTCTAACATTTAAAGAAATTCATTTTACAAATCTCTAAAAATTTTGTCCTATATACCCAAACTTTTCAATAGTATAATAACTTATCTATTTAAATAACCATTCCTATATTTATTCATATCTAAAATATCTATATATAATTTATCTCCTTCATTTAAAACATCGAATTTCTTCATACTATTCCTTAATATTATAGTATTTTTTTCTATAAACTTCATTTACATTAAAACTCCTTTAGAACCAAGTAAATCTAACTTAAAAGCATGAGGTTGAATTTAAATTAAATTTCTCCTATATATATATATAAAAAAATATATATAAATTAAAAACACGTATATATATATATATATATATATATATATATATATATATATATATATATATATATATATATTTTACGCATATTTATTTGACTAAATCTTCTGAAATTAAACCAATTCCATCTGTAAAAGCTTTTCCTTTTTCACTAAAAATATCTTCTTAATATTAAATATTAGGTTTTTCTTTAAAATAAAATGGTGTAGATGCACTAAAACATTAACCTATTCTTGACGCTTTTAAAGCTGCACATTTTATTTCTTAAAAATTGCCTATTCTTTCAATTATTAATTTTTTTGGTACTCTTTCGTCTAAAAACCAACAAGAATTAGTTCTTATTTATGAAGAACTCCACCCGAAATTGATAAAAGTCCGATCTAATATATTTACTTTCTCCAATTTAACTCTAAAATACATTTAAGTGACATATTTCATATCATTTATAGCTTCTAAAGAATCATCTTGGAATGAAACTCTTATAAAATAGTCTTATTTTTCATAATACATACGTATAACACGATTTGTTAATTCATATTCTTTTAAATTATATATTAGACCACTAGGAGTTATTATTATTCTTCTTACTTTTCCTAATTTTTTATCATTTTCATATATTTCATATTCTTTTTAAATTTAAACCTATAAAAAAATTAAATATATAGTATATATATATATATATATATATATAAATATATTTTTATTTGTATATATATAGATACTTATTTTTCAATAATTTCATTAGTTATATTTTCAAATTTTTCAAGAATTCTATCTTTTGATTAATAAATTTCTTTTTTATAAAAATATTCGAGAGTTTATTCTATAATAAAGTCAGAAAAGCCTCTAATATTTTATAAATTTTGAATTTTTTCTATTAAATTTTTTAAATCTTATATATCTATTTTATTATGAGAAAAAAGTACCATTAGATTATATTTAACTGAAAAAGATATATTTAAATTATTTAAAAACAAATCAAATTTATATGGAAATTAATAATTAAAACCATCAATTTCATAAATAAATTCCTTTGTAATATTTTCAAAAATCTTTAGGTTTTTATGTAATTCTTATTCGAATATCTAGAAATCTTAATTAGGTTTAAAGTTTATTGATATTATGCAATTATTTACGAAATTAAGCCTCTCAAATTCATCAGATAGCCAAAAAGATACAAAATTAATAATACGGTTCCATTTAGATTTTTTATGTTGGCAATGATCAAATTCTTCATCTGGTTGAATTAAAGACATGTAATATTTAGGTGAAATTATCATTTTAAAATAGTATTTATAAAGATTTTGGGTATTGTGAGTATATATTTTTTCACAATACATAAATGGAAATTCAATTTTTAATTAAAATTCAGTATATAATATTTATATATATATTTTATTTTTCTAAAAAATATATAAAAATATATATTTATATATATATATATATATATATATGTATTTTAATGTCTAATTAATTACTATTATTTAATTCTTATCAAACTAAATATATTTATTTGTCTAAACTAATTAATAATATTAATATATAGATAAA